TCAGTACTTTAGACTCTTTTTGTAGGAACTCTGTCAGTACTTTAGGACTCTGTAGGGACTCTGTTCCAGTACTTTAGGGGACTCTGTAGGACTTCTGTCATTTTACTTTTAGGACCTCTGTAGGACTCTGTAGGACTCTGGTTTCAGTACTGTAGGACGTCTGTCAGTACTTTAGGGACTCTGGGTTAGGAACTCTGTAGGACTCTGTCAGTACCTGTAGGACGTCTGTAGGGACTCTGTAGGACTCTGTCAGTACTTTTAGGCTCTTTTGTTAGGACTCTGTCAGTACTTGTAGGACTCTGTAGGACTCTGGTAGGACTCTGTCAGTACTGTAGGACTCTGTAGGACTCTGCAGTACCTGTTAGGACTCTGTAGGACTCTGTAGACTCTGTTCAGTACTTTAGGGACTCTGTAGGACTCTGTCAGTACTTTTAGACTCGTAAGGACTTCTGTTTCAGTACTTTAGGACTCTGTTAGGACTCTGTCAGTACTTTAGGACATCTGTAGGACTCTGTCAGTACTTTAGGACTCTGTAGGACTCTGTCAGTACTTTTAGACTCTGTTAGGACTCTGTAGGAACTCTGTCATACTGTTAGCGACTCTGTCAGTACTTTAGGACTCTGGTTAGGACTCTGTAGGACTCTGGTCAGACTGTAGGACTCTGTAGGGACTCTGTAGGACTCTGTCAGTACTTTAGGACTCTGTAGGACTCTTGTCAGTACTGGTAGGACTCTGTAGGACCTCATGTAGGGGACTCTGTCACGTACTGTAGGACTTCTGTAGGACTCTGTCAGTACTGTAGGAACTCTTGTAGGACTCTGTAGGACTCTGTCAGTTACTTTAGGACTTGTTTAGGACTTGTTAAGGACTCTGTCAGTACTGTTAGGGGACTCTGTAGGACTCTTTTGTAGGACTCTGTCAGTACTGTAGGACTCTGTTAGACTCTGTAGGACTCTGTCAGTACTGTAGGGACTTCTGTAGGACTCTGTATGACTCTGGTCAGTACTGTAGGGACTCTTGTGTTAGGACTCTGTCAGTACTGTAGGACTCTGTAGGACTCTGTTACCGGTCTCGGGGTCTCACCTGTACAGTCCAGAAACACGAACTGCTCCTCCAGGTCCGGGTCCACGGTGGAGCTCCAGTCCGTCCTCCGGTCTCCGCTGCAGAGCCTCAGGGTCAGGGTCCGACCCGCCGCGACCTCTGAGCCGGGCACTGACCCCGCCCGGGCCGCCGCGGGGACGCAGCGGGCAGGAAACCGAACCCCCCGGCTCAGTGCCCGGCGGACGCTCACCTGGATCACCTGGAACATGTCGGACTACACCCGAACCGGTCCGAGACACATCTGAGTCCTGAACACACGAGACAACTCCAGCTGCCACTTCCTGAAGGGATGTGACGTAAAACGCGTTGTTGTTTATGTTCCGGTTAAAAAACCGAATTCATTTTAAATCAAATATTTAATTCGCGGATCTTCGGATAATTGATAAGGACCGATATAATAATCGATACAGGACCGATATAAGAAACTGATACAGGATCAATAAGCGGAAATAAAAACATTTAAACACCGTGGCGTCCGAGAGCAGACAGGAGGTCTCACTCTGCTGCGGATTCAGGAACCAAACATACAACCAACTTTACTACGGAAGCCCTAAACGGTCAATGTTGAAATAAATGAACAGGAAGAAAATAAGCTCTGTTACCTTTGAGATGACAGCATTAATGAATCCATGAATCCATCCAGGGCTTCCGTACTTTACAGTTTCATTAAAACACAACTTCTAAATGTATAAATAATAAACATAAACATCTGTATATTTATTGACTTAAAGTTTGTTTCTTTATGTTATTCTAGAGTTATTAAAGCTTCTTTATAGTTGATTTATTTATTTATTTTACTTTTCACTTTATATTCTTTCAAATATATTCACATATATATATTTATACTGTAGTTTCTGTCTGGATGTTATTTATTGTTCATACAACTCTATTCTATATTTTTATTGAATGCGTATTTTCTGATCTATTGCATTGTGTTGTATGTGGTGAATTTACACAGTGTGGGATCAATAAAGTCTATTTTATTTTATCTTTAAGTTGGAAAAGAAATATAAAAACAAAAGAAATAAAAACACTCACACAGAGAAAGAAAGTTCATTAGTACGATGAGTAAAAGTAAATTAAATTGCTTTAAATAAAACAGTAAATATATTAATATAAAAGGACACAGAGGAATAAAGGAGTGAAGCAAAAGATAAATAAGAGAATACATATTTTAATATTTATAGAAAGTTACACAACAAAAACCAGAAAGGAAAAAATTATATAATTGAATTAAACAAAAACCAAAACAGAAGTTTTTCCAACCAGAATCGAGTTTATTTCCATGATTATGTTATATATTATATATATATAACATAGAATATTCTAATATAATATAATATAATATAATAATATACATACAATAAATAGCATGTAGTCAGCAACATAAATAGTACAAAATAATAATAATAATAAGTATGCAGCATTTGTGTTCTTTGTGTTAGCCTGTTTTCTCTACGGAGTGAGACTTCTTGTTGACAGAGGATCTCTGGCAGGCAGATAACTTCCTCTCTCGTCTCATTCTGTCACTTCTCAACCAACATGTTGAAGTTCAGAAGCTCCTCACTGAGATCAGCAGTCCGCCTGCTCTCTCCTGCTGCTCCTGCTGCTCCTGCTGCTCAGGTGAGTTCAACTCCAGCAACCCTAACACACACTGTCTCACACACACACTGTCTCACACACACAGTCTCACACACTGTCTCACACACA